GACCGGCACCGAGCAAACACGACTCGTAACGAGACGTGAACTAAACGCAAGCCTACGTAGAGACCGCGAGATCTGGTGGTCTCAACGCGCGTCAGAGATGGAACGTGCTGCCGCCATGGGTAATTACCGTAAGCTGTTCCATCTCATCAGGGCCACCGGTAGGAAAGCCTTAGGTGTGAGCGAAACGATCTGCGAAGCTGACTTTTCGCTCATTCATAGTCAACAGCGACGCCCTGAACGCTGGGCGGAGCACTCCGAAGAACAATTTAGCTGGCCACCAGCGCCAGCTTCTCACACATCTATTCTGGCACACGTCCCATGGTCTGTTTCATATATATATACTAACCCACTCACTCCATCCCACTTGGGCCAGACTAAGTAGGCATCGACTGTCGAACACTGCTAAACGACGGATGTCTTCTACCCGCAAGTTCAATGTCTCAACCATACAGTAGAACTGATCGTACAATGGCACAGCATACGCGACTTTTCAACTTTAGTGAAACGTCGCATCACCGCCACAGGTGTTTAGGTCCTGCGTATGTTGCTCGAGCCTTGGAAATGCAGGCGGTTATCTCCTTTGATGTGCTACCGTCGTTGGTCACGCAGCCACCTAAGTACGAGAAGCAGTTAACTTCAGCTAATTCCTGACCGTCTATTTTCAGAACGGAACTCTGCGACACCCAGTCTTGAAGCATCAAGTTGCACTTTGAAGGTGCAAAGCACATGTCGGACGGAGCGACAGAATTTGTTAATATGTCCAGTGCTCCTTGCGCATCTTCCAAACCGGCGACATAACACTCTCAACCGACTCACAACAGAAGTCCAACATTCTCACCTTCCGGAGGAGAATTTCATCTCTGCCAAAATAATGTCTCACACGATAATAAGTCAACCAAAGCCAAGAGTTTGGCCGATGAATGGAAGCGTGAAGCGCATCATAAATAGTACGTGACCAAACTCAGTTCAGTCCAGTATGCCAGGACGATTTGTGGCCTCCAGCCAATACAACGTCCAAATTATTGTGTTGGTGGTGGATGCTTATAGCTCCCCACACTGCGTATGACATATTTAGGCTGTCGAGGAACCAGTTAGTGCCATTGGTCCGATAGGATCTGCAATCATGTACTGAATCAAGCATTAGCTCACTGGAGCAAACGCTCGACCTCCAAAGATTAGCGTAATTCGTCTTTTTGTGATTTGGGACTTCGGTTGGTTGATGCATTTGCTGAAATGACAAACAAACAACTTTTGGTGCTGTTTCCCTTTCGAACACTAACTGGAACCTGGAAACAGTGCGCGTAAACGACTACTGACGGGTAACCAATCTATGAGTGAGGTATAAGCTTTATTGTTCGGTACGATACCTACTCCACGCTGATCTAGTGAATGAGTTGAATCCTCTCCTTGTGTGCGAAGAAAATACCTTGAGGACAGGATCGACGCACTCACGTGGTTTATACTAATGTTATCAATCCACAACAACGATGTTGAACTGAGATCTCAAAACAAGATTGTTTATCTACGTGCATGAGAGTCTTTACTGTGAAGGCGCCCAGATTCAGAGGCTGTAATTTAAGCAGTGGTACACTATACACCGCGCTATTCGACAAAGACTTCTGTCGAGTAACAAAAGAGTCACCTGATGGGATGCTACGAATCGGAAAGTTGGGAAAACGGGAGGGGAGTTGAAAGAGATGACAAAGATGAAGAAATTGGATCTAGATAGCAAAAGTGCGGCATAACTATATTTGCTCTGGGCTTCAGCCCAACTATCACACCAAGGAAATCACATTACGAGCCGACAGCTCACATAAAATCTTTCCGCGACCGTGACAGATGGTCTACATAGAAAACTTTATTTTTAGCTACAGTATGAATAGCTGAAAAATACAAAACCGGATTTATAAGACTGTATTGATGGATATCACATCGACAACAGCACCCAGCAAAACGCTTAATAACTGAACGCGCAGAACGGAACAAGATTAGGTGATACGGTTGTTTTCTAGCGGAAGATAGCAATAACAGCCGTAGTAGGAGCAGGTAAAGCCAGAAAAACCACTCACCTGTTATGATGGACAAAAGGTTCGGGTAACATTCCGCTGGGAAAACAGGCGCGACACGCTCAACATGACCACCGACAGCTTTTAACTTCGAGAATCCTGGCAGTTCCTGGTTGGTATGCCTTCGATATCGCTCAAAAATATCCCATCTTAAACTATCAATGAGAAATAATAGAACAGGTGTTGCTGGTTGTTTCGCATGAAGCTTTTCGGGATAGGCAAACTGGTGATAAATTTCATCCGCGGAAGGGGAGTTCTCGCCCGTCGCCAAAGAGTTACGTGGCACCAGGAGCAAACAGAACAGAAACAGCACAGCATTTACCGCGGAGACCAGGTGCGACATCATTCTGAAAGGCAAGCGACAGTTTCGTGTGAATAGGATTTCATTGTAACAGAACGAGGAGAGCAAATAACATACAAACTGTATATTCCAAAATTAAAAGAAAGTCACAAATATAGTTTAATAAGTTCGTCGCTCACAACAGATGGAGTTAGAACGCCAAGGTCCGTAACAAG